TATAAATGGTTGTGACTTGATTAGAAATCTGCCATTCTGGAATTGCTATCAGACACGCTCCTCTGTTAGTAGTTTTGAACTGTCATGCTCAGAACTGACTTGAGTCTTGAGATGCTGAAAGCCTAGTAGAGCATATTGACCAGGCTCTGTTTTCTGGACATTATCTCTTCTATTTATTTGAATATTTTACATTAAGCGTTTGCTAAGGAAAATAATAAAGTTTTACTGTCTTGAAGTTTAACGTTTAATGTAAGAAATATATAATATGACCTTTGTAGTACTACCTGTCCAGGTAGCTGTTCAAGTTTTTTAACAAAATTTTAAAACAATTATTACAAACTATGAAAGTTCTGTAGATTGTTAGAATTGTGTTACATTTCTTTCTATCATAGAGTGTTTCCCTGAAAGCTGTGTGAGATACTGGCTTGGAATCATTAATTCATCAGATATATTATATCACATTATTATTCATTCAAATATAATGAAAATGAGAATTAAAATAACTAAATAATAAGTCATTATAGTTGTTTTATTCCACTATCAACAAGGACGCTTATGTCAACTGGAAGTGAATTTTGTGAATGGAAGTTTTGCAAAGTGATTGAACTTTGGATAAAAGGGTAAATCTTTTTAAAAAATGTTGAAAATATACTGTAACATAAAATTTACCAATTTTAAATCCATTTTTAAGTATGACCAATTACAGTGGCATTAAATATATTCACATTCGTTGTGCAGTCATTCAAGACGATCCATTGGCAGAACTTCATCATCCCGTACCGCAAAATTCTGTACCATGAAAATATATATACTCCTCTTCCTTCCTCCCTAGTCTCTAGCAACCACCATTCGGTACTTCTGTTTCTGTGAGTGTTGACCACCTCTGTACTCCATAAAAGTGAATCATGATTTGCCGTTATGTGTCGTGTCCTTATTCTGTTTATTCACTTAGCATAATGTTTAGGGTTTATGTGGTAGCATGTTCAATAGTTTTTCATTTTTTTGATGCTAATAATATCCTATTATTGCACATATCCCATTTTGTACCATGCTGTTTCCATCCTTGGCTAGTGTGAAAATACTGCTGTGAACATAGTATATCAAGTATCTTCTTGATCTGCTTTTAATTATTTTAGTTACGTACCAGGAATGATTGCGGATCATATGGTGATTCATTTAATTTCATTTTAATTTTAAAGAGGTATATTGCTATGTTGCCCAAGCTGTCTTGACTCTGGCTCAACAATCCCGTCCATCAGCCTCCTGAGTAGCTGGACTATAATGTACCACTATGCCTGTACTATTTTTAATTTTTTAGAACTACCGTACGTTTTCCATAATTCATTTAGGTAACCATACATACATACATTACATAACCAATACATAATACATTACATTTATTCATCATTCATCTCATTCATCTCATTCATCATGTATTTGACAAGTTTCACTTTCAGGCAGACGTGTAGTGACATGGCGTCAGCGTACGCTCATAGCAACCTCAAACTCCTAGGCCAAGTGAGTCCTCTGCTCAGCTCGATGTACTGGGACTACAGCAATGCGCCACCATGCCGCCTAATTTTTTTCTGATGTATATATTGGCCAATTAATTCTTTTTTATTATAGTAGAGACGGGTCTTGCTCTTGCGCAGGCGGTTCCGAATTCTGACCTTGAGCAATCACCTGCCTCCCGCCTCCCAGAGTGCTAGGATATCAGGTGTGAGGCCACCCGCCGCCGGTATTTCTTTTTTAACCATTCTTATGTGATATGGACAAGTACTTCTATAAGTGATCATAATGAAAAACTTAGAATGGTTAAAATAATCGTCCTTTGACGTGTAGTGCCAATAAATCTGAAAATATTTAGATTAGAAATGGTCTCAAATGCTTTTTTTTTTCTGTTATCTGGCCTAAGTTTATTTTACCATGTATTTTATAATTACAGTTGTACTAGAAGACCCAAAAGCTCGATTTCCTTTTCGGTCACTATTCCCCTTCCCAGGTAACCACTCTGGTCATTGCCCTGTTTGAGAACTTCAATATCAGTTTCGTCTATTTCATTGCTATATATGTACACGTGTTTCATCATGTGAATATTCCATCATTTATTCATCTATAGTAATGAACATTTAGTATTATCAGTTTTTACATTATAATATAGGTGCTACGGTGAACATTTTTACATTTCTTGGTGAACATATGTATATATTGTTAATAAATACCTACTGAAGTAGAATTTTCTTTTCTCCCCTCCTCTCTTCCTCCTCTCCTCTACTCTCCTCCCCTCCCTTCTCCTCCCCTCTTCTCTCCTTCCCCTTCCCTCCCCTCCCTTTTTTTTTTGACAGAGTTTTGCTTTGTTGCTCGGCCGTGGTGTCAGCCTAGCTCATGGCAACCTTAAACTCATTGGCTCAAGCGATCCTACTGCCTCAGCCTCCCAAGTAGCTGGAACTACAGGCACACGCAACCATGCCTGGCTAACTTTTTCTATATATTTTTTGTTGTCCAGCTAATTTCTTTCTATTTTTAATAGAGACGGGGTCTTTGCTCTTGCTCAGGTTAGTCTTGAACTCCTGAGCTCAAGCGATCCTCCCCGCCTTGGCCTCCCAGAGTGCTAGGATTATAGGCGTGAGCCACCACGCCCAGCCTAGGAGGAGAATTTGAAAGCAATTTATTTTAAGACTTATAACTTGAGGAGTGCCCACCAGAATGATACAGAATAAGGTAAAAATATTGTCACAGTAATTGTACAGCTCAAACAACTAAGCTTGGTGTCAAAGAGAAGAAGGTTGTTCTGTCTGCCTCTATCCCCTTTGGAAAGTTAACACTCTGGCAATTTAGCTTTTTGGGTTCATGAAATGGAGACTGAATTCATCTTCTTCATTGTAGGTGTTGTCATGTAGTAGGAGCCATGAGGGGATGATCTGGCTTTTGATTGAACTTACTGTCTTATTTAGTATTTTCCCCTAAATTTGTTTTAACTGCCATTTCTTTTTCATAACCCACATTTCTAGAAAAATAAGAATATAGTTTCACAAAATATTGCTGTTCTCTAATAATATTGCAAAGTTGTTTTATTTGTTCAACAAATTAGCTGAGTCAGTACTTGTCGAATGCTTAGTATGTGCAGGTACTGTTCTAGATGCTGGAGGTGCAGCAGTGAATAAGGTCTACAGAGCCCTTTCTCGTGGAGTTTGTATTTTAGAGAGTGACGATAAAATAATAAACAAGTAAATAAATAGCATGATTTCAGCATCCAAGGATAACTTTGAAAAGTGGCCTATGTACCAAGATTTTAGAAAAATTTCTTGGTCGATTAATTATAATTAGTCTAAAAAAATAAATGAGAACTCAATTTTAGTAAAAAAGACTATAGAAAAGCTTTAAAAAGCATTCCTTAAGGAAAGGTCAGCTTTCTGGGATTTGAATTTCTCTGTGCAATTCCCAACATGGCTATTGTAAAGATTTAGTGGAATGCCTCTTTTTCATCTCTTAGGTTATCTTTCACCAAGTCTACAAATCCTTTGGTAAGTGTTTTATATGTTTGTGAAACTAAAAGCCTGTAATTTGACCCTTTTTCCCTTCATTCCAAGCAGTTACAATTTTGTTCTTCCAAGATTTTTTTATTGAGATATAATTCACATACCATAAAACTCAACATTTTAAATTGTACCATTCACTTATTCACAAAGTTTTGTAGCCATAACCACTGTCTAATTGTAGAACATTTACTCACCTCAAAAAGAAACCATTAATAGTTATTCTCTATTTCTTCTTATCCTTAGTCTCTGGCTGACCATTAATCTATTTTCTATTTCTATGGATTTGCCTGTTCTAGATATTTCATATAAATGGAATCATACAATGTATGGTCTTTTGTGACTGACTGTCTGACTTAGCATGTTTTCAAGGCTCATTCATGTTTTTCCTTGAATAATTTTCCATTGTAAGTATAATACTGCATTTTGTTTATCCAGTCACCTAATGGATGAATATTTGGGTTGTTTCCACCTTTTGGCTATTATGAATAATGCTGTTATGAACATTCTTGGTCAAGATTTTATATAGAGACATATTCTTAGTTGTCTTGGGTATATAACTAGGATGTATACATATGGTAACCCTGTGTTTAACTTTTTGAGGATCTGCTAACTCTTTTCACAGCAGCTGCACCGTTTTACATTCCCATCACTAGTGTATGAGGGTTCCAATTTGGCCACATGCCAACACTTAAAAAATATATATTTCTGGACATGGTGGTTCATGCCTATAATCCCGTCACTTGGGAAAACCAAGGGAGATCGCTTGAGGCCAGGAGTTAAAGACCAGCCTGAGCAACTGTCTAGACAGAAAAATTTAAAAAATTAACCGGGCATGGTGGTGGCGTGCACCTACAGTCCTAGCTACTTGGGAGGCTGAGGCAAGAGGATCACTTGAGCTTAGGAGTTTGAGGCTGCAGTAAGCTATGATGATGTCACTGCAATCTCCATCTTGGGAGACAGAGTGAGACCCTATCTCTAAAAAATTTTTTTGAAAATTATTAATAGCCATTCTTTTGGCTATGAAGTGATATCATTGTGATTTTTGGTTTGCATTTCCCTAATCACTAATGATGTTGAGCATCTTAACTTGTGTTTATTGTCCATTTGTATATCTTCTTTGGAGAAATGTCTGTTCAAATCCATTGCCTATTTTTAATAGGTTATTTGTCTTTTTATTGTTGAATTGTAATTTGGTTTTTAAAGCTGATTTTAGAAGTTAGCCTCATCCTTCATTGCCATCAAGTTATACACTGTACTTCCTGAGAGTTATATTCATTGAGTGAAGATATTAGGCTAAATTTTGAGTTATCATAGCCTCATAATTCATAAGGCAAAACACTTTTTAGCTTATTCCATCCTGGAAAATAATAATGCTGTGGTTTAAAAGGGAAGCAGCTAGCACCTTCCAAAAGGACAAAAGTAAGTTACCACTATAAAATAAGCCTTTTTCTTCTCTTTCAGACATTTGCTTCATCATTGTTTTCAGGCTTTGATGGATCATGGTGTTAAAGTTGCTTCTGTCTTGGCCTACTCATTCAGTAGACGGTGCTCTTACATCGCAGAATCAGATGCTGCAGTAAAGGAAAAAGCCATTCAGGTTGGCTTTGTTTTAGGTAAGTAATGATAAAATAGAGGAGTATTTTGTTCTGTGATAGACTCAGAATTAAACCTGCTGACAATAAAGAATTTCCCCAGGACATTACCCAAAGTCTATGTAAGGAGGTTATGAGAAGAATGTCAGAAGAACTACTTGTCATTTATTGAACATTAGTTCTGTGCCAAGCACGATACTAGGCATTTAAATGGTATCTTTCCAAATCCTTGTGACATTCCAATGAAGTGATGGTATTAATACTACTTTACTATGAGGAAACAGAAAAGTTGAATAACTGGCTCAAGTCACATACCTGGTAGTGGAGCTAAGTTTAGAATCCTGTGTCTGTATGATTCCAAAGCACATGTCTTTCCACCATGTCATGCTGCTGCCACCAGCCTCTTTCACCTGCTTACTCTAGGCTGTAGCATGGGACATAATCCTTTTGGGGCATCAGTTTTCCCCTCTCTAAAATGAGGATTATTGTATTTCTTCATGGGGATGTTATGAGGGTAGTGAAAACAAATGTAAAAGCAGTCAGAAAAAGTTTTGTATGCTATACATATAGAAAAATATCGTTTAGTGTTTGTATAACATTTTTATGGTTTTTACAAATCTATATATGTATGTTTCACACAACTATTTACAAAGTTGCTGCTACCTTTTTTCTTTATAGTTATTTATTTATTTATTTATTGAGACAGAGTCTTACTTTGTTGCCCAGGCTGGAGTGAGTGCTGTGGTATCTGCCTAGCTCACAGCAACCTCAGTCTCCTGGGCTCAAGCGATCCTACTGCCTCAGCCTCCCGAGTAGCTGGGACTACAGGCATATGCCACCATGCCCAGCTAATTTTTTGTGTATATGTTTTTAGTTGGTCAATTAATTTGTTTCTATTTTTAGTAGAGACAGGGTCTCGCTCTTGCTCAGGCTAGTTTCGAACTCTTGACCTCGAGTGATCAGCCCGCCTCGGCCTCCCAGAGTGCTAGGATTACAGGCATGAGCTGCCACGCCCGGCCTAAAGGTTTTTTTTGTTTTTTTTTTTTTATTGATTGCAGATTGACAGGTAGTTGCAAAAGAACACCAAGAGTTCTTTAAAGCATTCCTCCAGCTTCCTCCAGTGGTGACATATTATATAACTGTAGAATAATATCAAAATCAGGAAATTGACATTGGTATTTTAGTGTTAACTAGACTGTAGGCCTTATTTATTTTTTATCAGTGTTCACATGCACTCATTTTGTGTGTGTTTCTGTGCAATCGATTCCAAGTAAAGAGTCATACAACTACCATCAATATCAGGATACAGATCAGGAGCTGCAACACTGGAAAAATGGCAGAGCAAGAGGAAAGGAAAAAATCCCTCCTGAAAAAGAGGAAGGCTTACCAAGCCCTCAAAGCCAACCAAGCAAAGCAGGCACTTTTGGCAAAGAAGGAGCAGAGGAAAGGAAAAGGGCCAAGTTTAAGTGACTGGAATCGTTTCTACATGATTCCTGGCAGCAGCAACGCGACAGGGTGCATCTCAGACGACTAGAAGTAAAACCTCATGCCTTAAAGTTGCCTGATAAACATTCCATGGCCTTTGTTGTACGCATCCAAAGGATTAATGGGGTGAGCTCACTGGTGCAAAAGACCATCGTGAGACATCACCTAAAGAAAAATTTTCAGTGGTGTCTTTGTTAGAGCCTAAAATTGCTGCATATGGTGGAACCTTATGTGACCTGGTGAGTTCCAAATCTGAAGTCTCTCCAGGAACTCATCTTGAAATGTGGACAAGCAAAGATCAAGAATAAGACCATCCCTGTGACAGATAACACAGTGATTGAAGAGCACCTGGGGAAGTTTGGTGTCATTTGCTTGGAAGACCTCTCAGTGGCTCATCATGCTACTGAGAATAAAGTGGGCTTTCTCAAGGAGATGGGCTCACCCAGCTATCGAGGTGAACGCATCAATCAGCTCATCCGCCAGCTGAACTAGACTCAGAATATCTGAAAGCACAGTGCATTGAGAGCATGTATTTTTGAGTTTTGGAATTATGAAGTATCTTCAGAGAAGACTATTTTCACGCTATCTTCAAAAACAAAGGGAAGAGTCAGGGAAAAGACAGTCGGTTATGCTCATGGCAGGAACCTCTCATCACAGTCCAGTTCCAAGGAAAAATTCCAGTGTTTTCCACTTTGGCTGCTGCCCCCTCTGAAATCACATTCCATGGAGAAAGGAGTACAGCTTTGTCGATCTTCTATCCTTAGGTGTTAAACATTGGTGAATGAATGACTCAAGCATGTGTACGAGGATCCCTAAGACTCTTGCAATAGTGGTCCAAGTCCAAATGCATACTTAAATCTGGGTATTCCCAGGGCTTTGTTTTGAAAAGACTTGAAATACAATTGGGAAGGAGAATGCAAAAAAAAAAAAAAAAAAAAATCAGGATGCAGTACTGTTCTATCACTACTGACTACCTTTCGTTTTTAACTTCTCACATTAATGTGTGCGTGTACATGTTTTTTCTCTCTCAGTCTCTCATGTGCACACATGTGCATACAAATTTTCACAACCATTTTCTTCAATCTTAGAATAAGTCTTTGTACTGGTCAAAGACAACTTGCTGGAGGAACTTTGGAGCTTTTTCTTTTCCCTCCCTCCCTCCCACCCTCCTTCCTCTCCCTCACCTTCCTCCCTCCCTCCTTTTCTTTTCTCTTTTCTTTCTTTTCCTTTCTCTCTCTTTCTTTTTTCCCTCCCCTCCCCTCCCCTTCCCTCCCCCCCTTTCTCTCTTTCTCTCTTCCTTCCTTCTTTCCTTTCTTTTCCTTTTTCCCTTCCTTTCTAGAAATGGAGTCTTGCTCTGTTGCCCAGGCTAGAGTGCAGTAGTGCGATCATAGCTCACTGGAGCCTGGAACACCTGGGCTTAGACGATCCTCCCACCTCAGCCTCCCAAGTAGCTAGGACTACAGGCATGTGCCAACATGCCCAGCTAATTTCTCTGTATTTTTTTGTAGAGATAAGGTCTCACTGTCTTGCCCAGGCTGGTCTCAAACACCTCGCCTCAAGCAATCCTTCTGCCTTTGCCTCCCAGAGTGCTGGGAGTACAGGTGTGAGCTACTGCACCCAGTACAGAATATTCTTTTCTGAAAAGAGCCCTCAGTATTGATCCTTTAAAAAGTCTCATGGAATGTTAGTTTTGATAAAGAATTGACAAAGGAATGAATGTCTGTAACAGTGGAGTGTTTGTGATCTTGGCAAATGTTAATAATGACATCCTTTTACTTATAAATGGTCATGTAAAAATCTGTATGGGAGAAATTTAGTATCAAGGAAGGTGAAAGACAGGAAGGTTCATCGCGACAAGGTGCCCTGTCATCTCCACATATACCAGTTTGGCTGTTGTAATGAGCCAGAGAGATAAATCAGAGAACCAAGGCCTTAGCAAACTCATATTGTCAGTCTTAATCCTAAAATTATCCAGAAAGTAAATAAACATTGTACCAGAAATGTATAGTGATAGAGATAATTTTTAAAAATAGCCTTATTGAGATATAATTCACATATCATATAGTTCATCCATGGAAAATATACAAAGCAGTAGTTTTTAGTATGTTCACAGAGTTGTGCAAACATTATCACAGTAAGTTTTAGACCATTGTCACCACCTCAAAAAGAAAGCCATACCTGACCAGGCGTGGTGGCTGATGCCTGTAATCCTAGCACTCTGTGAGGCCAAAGTGGGAAGATCCATTGAGGTCAGGAGTTTAAGACCAGCCTCAGCAACAGGAAGACAGACCCCCTCTCTACTAAAAAAAAATAAAAAATAGAAAAATTAGCTGAGTGTAATAATGTGCACCTGTAGTCCCAGCTACTCGGAAGGCTGGGGGGCAGGAGGATTGCTTGAGCCCAGGAGTTTGAGGTTGCTGTGAGGTAGGCCCATGCCACAGCACTGTAGCCTGGGGTAATAGGGAGACTTGTCTCAGAAAAAACAAAAGAAAACCCTACCCATTAGCAGTCATTCCTCATTTTACTCCAGCCCCAGGCGACCATCAGTTTGCTTTCTGTTTCTATAGATTTGTCTATTTTGGACATTTTATATAAATGGACTCATAAAATATATGGCCTATGTGACTGGCTATTTAGCATAATATTTTCAAGGTCCAAACATGTTGTAAAAATAAAATTTATTAAGAGTTTTTTTTTGTTGTTTGAGACAGAATCTCTTGCCCGGGTAGCTCACAGCAACCTCAAACTTCTGGGCTCAAGCAATCCTCCTGCCTCAGCCTCCTGAGTAGCTGGGACTACAGGCATGTGCCACCATGCCCAGCTAATTTTTTCTATATATTTTTAGTTGTCCAGCTAATTTCTTTCTATTTTTAGTAGAGGGTCTCACTCTTGCTCAAGCTAATCTTGAACTCCTGTGCTCAAACAATCTTCTTGCCTCAGCCTTCCAGAGTGCTAGAATTATAAGCGTGAGCCACCACACCCTGCCTATAAAGAGTTTTATAAAGAATTTTTAACAAGGTATCAGAGAACCGAAAAGGCAAAAAGGGAACATGAAGGTATTGTGGACATACTAACTGCAAGAATCAGCTGCCACAACTAGGGCTTGGGGAACCAAGGAAAGTGGTTGAATTATTGACATTTGGAAGCTTGAGGAAGTGCCTAGTAAAGCTAGGATGATGGTAGGCTGGTAGATCTAGACCCCTAGGAGGGGCATCTCATGCGGTGCTGTGAAACTGGGTTTGGAAGTGTTGGAAAACTGCAGCTCGTGTTGACTGTTGCTTACTGGAATGAACTGTTACTCCCAAAGTAAAGAAACAAACCCTGGGGTGTTCAGGTCAGCAGGGGTCATGCCGACAGAAACATGAAGGAGTGTCCGTTGAACTTCCAGTCTTGCAGCCTCTTTTTCTAGCGCCTCCCTTTGGCAGAGCCTAACAGGGAGCCAGCTAGCAAATGAGAAATGTGGTTTGCGGAGTCCTTGCCTCAGCATCATAAAACAGAGTCTAGAAAGGCAATTTGAAACTGAGAGACAATATCCTAATAACCAGCACAACACCCAATATGTTGGGATAATGAATAGAAGGTTGCTTAGTATGAATATGTATAATTACCTCATTATTCTAGTCACTTCATAAGGACCTTAGAATGTTCTAAAGCACAATTGTTTCCAATGAATAAAATAAAATTTGTCTAATTACATGTAGCTTTAATTAAACATAAAACATGGGTCTGTGCAAAATATATTTTATTGACTCAGACATTATTGACACCATTAAGATATACCATATTTTGTGTGTACCAAGAAAAAAAATGCTGCCAGTTATTGTAACACTTCAGTTGTATGATGTATTCTAATTTTAGAGGTTTTAAGATGTGCAAAAATGTGTGTTTTAGGATTGAAGAAATACAGAATGTCACTTTGTGTTTTCCAGTTATTGTAACTAATCCTCAATAACACTAAGAAAGTATTCCTCATAATAGCTAATGTAGTATAGTAACTACAGACTTAGCCTCTGAAGTCAGATTATATGGATTCGAATCTTTCCACTTAATAGCTTGTAAGCTTTGGATTCTCTGGCCTCAAGTTTTTCATCTAATTGAAGCAGTAATTGCATTTAAGTTGAAGATGTGTTATGAAAGTTAAATGATAGATTCATGCAGAGTGGTTATCACAATAGAAAGTGGTTACACAGTGTAGTAAACATGTATTAAAGGTTAGTCATTATTAGGAGCCAGAATCCTCAGAGTATTCGGAAGAAATGATGTCAGGACAGTAATTTAATTTCTTGCTAAAAAAATAAGATGAGTAAGCATCACCATCTTTTTTATCTGTGTGTCCTCTATGATGTGCTGCTATACTAAGAAGATTCTTTATTAAGATTTCTTTACCTTCTTTGGGATTGGGTATTGGGAAATTGAAAAGTTATGTGTACACTGCAAGAGGAAAATAATAGAATAATTAGAATTTAGTGGGTCATTAGCTGGAAAACGTCAAGTCTTAGGCCGTGTAGAGTATTCTTAGAGGATTAAAACTCTTAACTCCTTATTGAAAGTCTCAACTTAGATCCTAATCCCCCTAGTTCAAAACTTCACGGTTAATATCTTTGTTTTAAGCTAGCTGCAGTACTTCGATATTATGGTTTTGTTTTAGTTTAGATAATATTGATTGTAGGCATGTCTTTGTTGCTTTCAGGCAATTTATTACATTATCTAAAATCACTGATTTTTCTTGTTCTTTAGGTGGCTTTCTTTCAGATGCTGGATGGTACAGTGATGCTGAGAAAGTTTTTCTTTCCTGCCTTCAGTTGTGTACTCTGCATGATGAGATGCTTCATTGGTTTCGTGCAGTAGAATGTTGTGTGAGGTGAGTTGGAACATACCCTACAATTATGTGCTATAATGGTACTTAGTGGCTTTTATAGTTTTAGCTCTTCAAAGTATATACCAACATTTGAATAAATTTCTGTGATGATACGGGCTCCTGCCTCCCATTTCCAAAATATAGTTAACCTGCTGTAGACAGCTTACCTTAGATTTGAGTATTATGAGACAAGATGTATTTCTTATATATCTTTTTGCTTTGTCATAGAGTTTGTTTATTCATTCAACAAATATTTGTTGACTACTTGTTATGTACTGGTACTAGGAACTGTGATAGGCACTGGAAGCTAGGAAACCCCAGAAATATACATTTTTCTTTTTTTTTTTTTTTTTTTTGAGACAGAGTCTCACTTTGTTGTTCAGGCTAGAGTGCGTGCCGTGCGTCAGCCTAGCTCACAGCAACCTCAAAACTCCTGGGCTCGAGTGATCCTTCTGCCTCAGCCTCCCGGGTAGCTGGACTACAGGCATGCGCCACCATGCCGGCTTATTTTCTATATATATCAGTTGGCAATTAATTTCTTCTCTATTATAGTAGAAACGGGTCTCGCTCTTGCTCAGGCTGGTTTTGAACTCCTGACCTTGAGCAATCCGCCCGCCTCGGCCTCCCAAGAGCTAGGATTACAGGCGTGAGCCACAGCGCCCGGCCTACATTTTTCTTGGATGCTACTTTTTTACCCCTGCTTTATTTACATTTCCATAATCATGCATAACAAGATCAATATTTTACTTATAAATAACTTTTCTTTGACAATATAGTGAATTTTTTTTACAGGTTTACTTCAAGGCAAGCAAATTTAGAAGTAACTCTGCTTTTACTATACTTTTTTCTGTATATGTAACATTTAGAATTAGTTAGGTTTTTCTCTGTCCCCCAATTTGATTTGACATCTCTTAAAAAGAGTTTATAATATAAAACTAAGGAAAATCAAAATAAAGTCAAAAAATAAAACAATAGAAATTCTTTGTCCTAAGTTAACTAAAGTCAATTTACTGCACTTACAGTCTTCTACTTTTAAGGAATTAAGGGGCATATATCCCAGGTATTTTAGAGATGAGTTAATTAAATCTGAACCCCTTCAGAGCTAGAATATAGATTCTTCTATTAAACCTTTGTTGATTTAAGTTAAAATTGAGTAAAGCTATGTCTCCCCCCTTTCCTCCTCCTCCCTTCTTTCTTCCCTACTTCTTCCCCCTCCTCCATCCCCTATCACCCTCTTCCCCTCACACCTCCTCCTCCCCCTTGCCCTTTCTTCCTTTTGCTCTTTCTCTTCCTCTCCCTCTCCCCTCCCTCTCTCCAGTTTGGATTTCAGTTGAATTTCATGTGGTTTTCATTGCCTTGTTTTATATAGGGCTGTTAGAAAATCGTTCAAATCCTGGCTGGGCACAGTGGCTCATGCCTGTAATCCCAGCACTTTGGAAGGCAGAGATGGGAGTTTGAGACCAGCCTGAGCAACGTAGCAAGACTCTGTCTCTACAAAAAATAAAAAACAAATTAGCCAGACATGGTAGTCCCAGCTCCTTGGGATAAACCATAAGAATATTTGTGTTCATAAACTATAAAGTGATTGGTATTTGGGGCTATAATTTATAGTACTGATCAAAATAATCTTTGTCTTTTTTCTTCTGCCAATTCTGTGTTTGTAGGAATAGGAGACTTGACTGTCCTAAATGGGATTGGAGGGATTGGTTAACTATTTTTATATATATGAACTAGTTACTTTGTTGTTTTTTTTTTTTTGTTTTTTTTTTTGAGATAGATTCTCACTTTGTTGCCCAAGCTAGAGTGAGTGCCCTGGCATCAGCCTAGCTCACAGCAGCCTCAATCTCCTAGGCTCAAGTGATCCTACTGCCTCAGCCTCCCGAGTAGCTGGGACTACAGGCATGTGCCACCATGCCTGGCTAATTTTTTGTATGTATATTTTTAGTTGGTCAATTAATTTGTTTCTATTTTTAGTAGAGACAGGGTCTCGCTCAGGCTGGTTTCAAATTCCTGACCTCAAGCAATCTGCCCGCCTCGGCCTCCCAGAGTGTTAGGATTACAGGTGTGAACCACCACGCCCGGCCTGAACTAGTTACTTTGGAACAGAAAAGTCATTTTGGATAATTTCATTTCATTCATATATATATATATATATACACACACACATATATATGTATATATACATGTATATATACATATACGTATGTGTGTATGTGTGTGTGTATATATATATATATATATATATATATATTTTTTTTTTAATAGGGTCTTTGTTGCCCAGAGTGGAATGGAATGCTGCAGTGGCACTGAGGTAGCTCACTGCTGCCTTAATATCCTGGGCTCAAGCGATCCTCCCATCTCAACCTTGCCAGTAGCTAGGACTACAGGCACATACCACCACACCAGGCTAATTTTTTAATTTCTTACAGAGACGGGGACTCGCTGTGTTACTCAGGCTGGTCTTGAACTCCTGGCCTCAAGCAGTCCTCCCACCTTGGCCTCCCAAAGTGCTAGGATTACAGGTGTGAACCATTATACCTGGCCATAAATTATTCTTTATAAAAGTCTTGACCAAAAGATAAAACACTTTCTTTTTGTATGTGACTTTTATTCACAGAGTCAGATTTATTTCACTCAGATACATAATGTTTCCTCTGTTTAATGTTAAGGCTTCCATATAAATTTTGCTTTAGCCTAACCAAAAGATTTAGTTTTTTCACAGGACCAAGTCTCCTTTTCTCCTTCCTAGTTTGTCTTCTTTATCATACATCTCACATCATTATTGTTGCAAGTGTTGATAGGCAGGGAGAAAGGGAAAGGACAAAAGGCTTTTGCCAGCTGAGTCTCATTTTTGTTTCTTCTTTTTTAAATCAGAAAAAATAGCTCTCCTAGAAGTCTAATCTTATCTTTTTGCTTACCTGTCTTTTAAACTAGGAAACTGGGACATATTCTACACATCTTCCAATCTGTGTGTAAGGTGTTGAGGGAGCAAAACATTTTTAATTTGCATATTGTTACTCTGAATGAACTCCTGGGTCTACATTAAGGTAGAAGAGGTGGAGAATATTGAATAGATAACTAACAATACAGTGAGTCTTTGCAGCTAGCACTTGTGAATTTAGAATGTTGTCTGGACCAAGGAACAAAGCTATTTATAGTACCAGCATACTGCCTGTATACCAAGACAGGACATTTTGTCCCTAGAAATTTGAAATTTCAAAATAAAATTTGCTTGGATGAAACTCTATTTAAATTTTTGGTGATTACAAGTATATTTAATGTAATTTTTATATAATTTTTTTATCTTAAACTTAGTATTGTTTTTAAAAAGATTGAATTTTTCTGACTTTGTTTTTTATTAAGACAAAAAGAAATTGGAGGTATTAATTGACTATGTGTTTTGCAGAACAGATACTAATGAAATCCTTTGACCAATCCCAGGGGCTTTGAGTCTGATGCAAGAGTACGAGTATGTTTTTCAATTTAATATCACAAAGCCAATTTCTACTCTCAGGCTGGCATCAAAACATTATAGAGCAAATGTCAGAGAACCTTCTTGGCCTTACTTAGCAGAAAGTAGTTAAACCTGGTACCATTTTTCAGTCCTTTTGTATTCCTTGGGGACTCTGCATGTTTTCCCTTATTTCTTTTCTATTTAATAGCTCTGGTTTTTGGTTTTTTGCTTTTTTAATTTTAAGACAGAGTCTCACTTTGTTGCCCAGGCTAGAGTGAGTGCCGTGGCATCAGCCTAGCTCACAGCAACCTCAAACTCCAGGGCTCAAGCAATCCTTCTGTCTCAGCCTCCCAAGTAGCTGGGACTACAGGCATGCGCCACCATGCCTGGCTAATTTTTTCTATGTATATTAATTGGCCAATTAATTTCTTTCTATTTATAGTAGAGATAGGGTCTTGCTCTTGCTCAGGCTGGTTTCGAACTCCTGACCTCAAGCAGTTCGCCCGCCTCGGCCTCCCAGAGTGCTAGGATTACAGGCGTGAGCCACTGCGCCTGGCCAGCTCTGGTTTTTTTGCTTATACATATTTGTTGCCAAACAAATTCTGAAAACACAGAAAACTATAAAGAAGAAAATAAATATTATCTATTATATATATATGTGTGTATATACACACATATATATGTGTGTGTGTATATATATACACACACACACCCCAGTAATATTTTTTGGTTTATTTATGGTAAATTAACATTTCATACTGAGCATCAATAATATATCTATTACTGAATTGTGCATTTTTTTAAGATAATTAACCTAAAAGCATATCCTCAACCCCCTTTTCCAACTTCTTCTCTAGAGTTTATCAGTCCATGTGAGCATGGTTTGTTTGATGTCAAGAGTTCCCTTGAGACCTGCAGAGGAGAAAGAGATTGCCTTTATGCTTCTGAGAGTGGGGCAGAGCAAACTTTTTATTTTAAATCATTTTCTACTTTTTTTTATTTTTAAAATTATAGACATGTATTGCTTTGATAGTTTTTTTTTTTTTAAGTGAAAAAAAAAAAGAACTTCCTGAACTGGTGCACATATGCATACATACGTGTGTATGTTAGTGTGCGTGTAAAAACTTGAATCTGGATTTAAAAAGAACCCTGCCTAAGTCCTAGGCAGTTGAAGTTCCTGAAATACAAAGATACCAATGTCTCAATTATTGAGAGAAAATACTATACCTCATCAATTTTTAGGGCAAAAGAAAGAATTTTCAAGTATGCATACACCCAGTGTAGCTCCCTGTACCTTATCTCAGAAAAATACTCAAGGAATTTCTCTAGCCAAATAAAAGTTCAGTAATAACAAATCTCAAAATAGGGAAAGATGGTATAGAAAAAGTAGTAAGTGATAAATATTATAATATATGTCCTACATGCAAATAGAGTAGGAAGAGAATGAAGAACAAATTGGGAGTCTATAATAGATTTTTTTTTGACACAGACTCTTACTCTCTTGCCCAGGCTAGAATGCCATGGTGTCAGCCTAGCTCAAGCTCCTGGG